GATTTTAGCTAAATCTCAACCGGATAAAATCTAGGGTTTTCACCAAAGCAGCTAAACTCTCGAATTTGCAGGCATACCAAACGACCTCTAAAAATTATGAAATTTAAACCACGTCATACTCAGCATTTATCATATTTTTCGTGAAAGTTGCATCGAATTCCGAGGTCTTATCATATTTCTCATAAATCGGGCATTTCAGCTACTTATTCAAAATCCAGTTAACATACTAAACGAGCACCAAAAATTACGAAATTAAAACCTAGGCCTCAAGTCAGCTATACGAATTTTACCACGCTAGTTTCGCATTTTTCCGGGCAGCAACCAATATTTACGGAATTTAATGTCATTTTAGCCGATAAATTCACCATAAATCTTATAATGCTCGAAATCACCTCCCGTAAATTTTAAAATTCATCTAAATACTGAATTAAGCTCATGGAGTAAGGTTTAAGTCGATATACCTCTCGAAGGGTTCAAATCGGAAATCGGAACTTGATAAAGACTAGGAGAATGGGTCGGCTATTTGAAAAACAGATCGGGCAACAAGTTCGGGTCGGGGCTGCACTGGTCTGTGCTGAACCTGCTCAGACTGAAGCTCGGCTGGTCGTGTATGGCTCGGTTCTGGTCAGGTCGAGCGGATCGGGACCGAAACTCGCGGATCTGAGGGGCTGGGCTGCTGTTCGGGCCGAGGTCGCGCTGGTTGTTGGTCTGTTCTTCGGGACGCGGGCTGCTGGTTCGTCGGGAAGGAGGGCGGCGTGAGCTCGCCGGAATGTGGTGGTGGTCGCGAGCTTGCTGTCGCCGGTGCTAGCTCGCGTGGAGGAGATGCTGCTCGACGGCGGGATGGGCAGCAACGACGTTAGCTGGTTCTGGTTTTGGTGGAGGACACGCGATGAGCTGGAAGCTGGCAGGGACAGCGGCGCGTGGCTGGGACGCCGGAAATGGAAGCTCGCCGGAATGATGCGAGCTGGGGAAGAAAGTCGCTGTTGCGGGCTGAAGATGGTCTTGCCGTGGAGGAGTTGGACGATGGTGAGCTGTGGACCAGGAAACTGGGGTTGTGCGAGCTCGGGGCTAGGGCTGAGCTTCGCCGGCGGGAAGGTTCGCCAGAAATCTGGTCGGTCGGACTAAGGGTCAAGCCATGGTTGGAGCTTGGGAATGTTTACTAGCTTAGATCTTAGAATTGGAGATGGTGTTGGTGTTTGGATCTTGAAATGAAGGTGGTGAAGATGGATGAATAGTAACTTGGGGGCTAGGGTTTTTTTTTGTTGGTGTGTTGGGAGACATGGAGACATGGTATTTATAGATGGTGGGGAGCTTAGGGTTTTGCTCTTATTTGGCTTAGCATCGGGCCTAATAGATTGGGCTCGATTTTTAACGACTTGGGCTCGGATATATAATTGCTACTAGGCTCGATTTTTAAAATACTACTTGGGCTTGAAAATAAATAAATTATGCAATTAATATCAATAATTCTCTGCATAATTAAAATATTACTAATTTCGATAAATAAGTCGAGCTACTAATATAATTTTGGTCTGGGGTGTTACAAAAGGTGCTATTCAAGCCGAGTTAAATTCGCTTAATAAATGAAAGGTTTTTGGACCTATAACCATTATACCCAAAGACATAAAACCTATTGGGTACAGATGGGGTTTTGTCAGAAAAAGAAATGAGAAAAATGAGATCACAAGATATAAAGCTCGCCTTGTAGCACAGGGATTCTCCCAGAGGCCTGGGATCGATTATGATGAGACATATTCCCCTGTTATGGATGCGATTACTTTCAGATACTTAATTAGTTTGGCCATCCATGAAAATCTTGAGATGCGTCTTATGGATGTTGTGACTGCTTACTTATATGGATCGCTAGACGCTGACATTTATATGAAAATTCCAGAAGGAATTAGAATACCCGAGGCGCTAAAGTCCAAACCTAAAGAGTTATGTGCGATAAAACTGCAAAGATCATTGTATGGCTTGAAACAATCCGGGCGTATGTGGTATAATTGTTTGAGTGAATAATTACTAAAACGGGGATACATAAATAATCAAATATGCCCGTGTGTTTTTATAAAAAGATCACAAGATGGAGTTGTGATAATTGCTGTCTATGTCGATGATCTTAATATTATTGGGACTACAAATGCAACTCAAGAAGCAGTCACTTTACTAAAAGGCGAGTTTGAGATGAAAGATCTCGGACAGACCAAATATTGTCTCGGCTTGCAAATAGAACGAGTCCAAAATGGGATATTTGTCCATCAATCTAATTACACTAAAAGAGTACTGAAACGATTCAATATGGACAAGGCGAATCCACTTAGTACCTCAATGGTCAATCGAACATTAGATGTTGAAAAGGATCCATTTCGACCTTGTGATAAAGATGAAGAAATACTTGGTCCTGAAATACCATATATGAGTGCAATTGGAGCTCTTATGTATCTTGCTAATTGCACTAGACCAGATATATCATTCGCTACCAATTTATTAGCAAGATTAACTCAGCACCTACGAGGAGACATTGGAATGAAATCAAACATATATTCCGTTATCTCCAAGGGACAATTGATTTGGGACTGTTTTACCCTAACGATAAAAAACATGAAATAATTGGTTTTGCAGATGCAGGATATCTATCAGACCCCCATAAAGCAAGATCTCAAACCGGCTATGTTTTCACAATTGGTGGAACTGCATTTTCTTGGCGCTCCCAGAAACAAACATTAGTTGCGACGTCTTCAAACCATGCTGAGATCATTGCACTTCATGAAGCAACTAGGGAAAGTATTTGGCTCAGAAACATGACTCAACATATTCAACAAGCCAGTGGACTATCGAACAATAATGACCCGACGGTGATATCGAAGACAATGCAGCATGTGTCGCCCAAACCAAAGAAGGATACATCAAAAGTGACAGAACTAAAGATATCCCTCCAAAGTTCTTCTCATATGCGCAAGAGCTTGAAAGAAACAAACAAATCAAAGTTCAATACATTCGATCAAGCGATAATGCATCAGATTTGTTTACGAAGGCGCTTCCGACGATAATGTTTCGAAAGCACGTACACAATATTGGAATGAGACATCTTCGGGATTTGCATGGATAATAACTCGAGGGGGAGTATGTGCGGCTGTACTCTTTTTTCCTTATCTCGGTTTTTTCCCACAAGGTTTTTCCAGATAAGGTTTTTAACGAGGCAGCATAAACGCACATTTAATAGTGGAAATTCCAATAGGGAGTATTATGAATAAAGTGGAATCTACCACTATTAATTATATTATCAATTGTATTGGAATGTGTGCTTAGTGATTGAGGGCCTCAAAATTTGCCTATAAAAGGGCAAAGATGTATAGTGAAGTATGTACGAAAAGCTGAAGAAGTGAGAAAGAGAGCATCTTACAATTTATATCCAGTTTCTATACATTGTGTTCTTTATATTCCCCGCATTTTATAACACAAAATAATTTTTTGAGGTGGCATTTTAGTTATTCAGTTTTTTTTTTTTTTTTT